CCGACCGCTGTCCCGACTGTGGCGTTTCTCCGCATGACTGTTCGCCTGCAGTTCCCGACCAGGCACCCAACTCAGCCCCACGGACCTTTGGCTTAAGCCGGTTGAGGTCTCGGCTTTTCTCCGTCTTCCAACTACAACCAGTTTGGACTCTAGCCGGGACACATGATCCAACAAGGGCTATGACACACACTAGACACTCTCCGTGTTTAGCTGATCGAGAAGCATTCATGAGAAACTATTACGGCAGACAGGGTGATTGTTTGAGCAACCTCCTGCCGATGCTTCCGGCCATGACTAACTTTAAGGAGCAAAGAATCTATTTTTGAAGATTGTATAAACAGCAAAATTAAATGGATCCATCAATTTCGAGAGTGCTCTTCAGTTGCTACCTCTCATTGCATAACGTGAATGAACGTCACAGAAAATACACAATTGAATTCATACAGAAAAAATCGATACAAAACGGCAAGGTCATTGTAAATAGCCAAGAGGCAATCGATAAAGTAGGAACTTTAAACGCTGTAGGCAGCAAAACTGGTGAAAACGTCCCAGGCAAAAAATAAAAATGGGGAGGGGAATGTGTAAACAGGTAGCCAGTGTTACCAAGGTAGAGTTAGGTTAATTACATGCTCCAATTGTTCACATAGGTCGGGTTTAAACCGCCGTATATAAGCTGCCTCCAGGTAGCGTAGGGTGCGAGTTGTTCGTGCCTGAACAAGTACTCGGAAGGAGGTTTTAGGGTCCACGGAATGGTCTGTATCTAGATGGCTCCATTTTTATTTTTTGCCTTGGACGTTTTTTTTCACTAGTTTTTGCTGCCTATGAGAGGTAGCAACTGAAGAGCACTCTCGAAATTGATGGATCCATTAAATTTTGCTGTTTATGCAATCTTCAAATTTCCACCAGGGAAAAGAAGCCTCAAAGAATCTATGTTTATTTGTTTGTTTTTTTCAAATGGGTAAAAAGAAACAGAGCAGTGGGTTGGCGGTGCTGCCTTCTCCCGCTAGGTTTTTTTACTAGACACTCCTCCTCATGCGAGAGACCAACACAGCGGACAGGGTGGGTGTTTGATCAAACTCCCTTCCGACAATTTCGACCATGACTACTTTTAAGAAGCAAAGCGTCCACGAGTATTTGTCTTTTTTTAAAATCAAAGGAGACCTGAACGTTAAAGTTACTCCCAGTGAACCAACATTACTATTGGCAAGTGCTCAGCTGATTGCCGGAGCCCGTGAGTAAACTTATTTTTGGCGCCTTTAAATCAACACACTGTAAAAAGTAACGACTTACCTAGCATGGGGTTTTCCTCCTGATTTTCGAGTAAGCCATACCTGCTACTTCCAACCCCGTGTGCATGGCATACGACTTCCCTTTATTACGACTTTCATATTAGTCTAGTTAGGCACTGTACAGGTCACTCGGATGATTTAACGTTAAACTAAGGTGACGTTCCCGAGGAAAACAAATGGTATACCTTTTCCGTGTGTGGGGTTTTCATAAATGGGGTCATTCGCAGATCTGCTTCGCGAACAACAAATGTGTAGAAATACGATAGTTCGACCGTCTATTTCGAAGATATCCACTGCGAGCTTCAACACAGCAAGATGCACAATAAATGCACTCTCACGACGACTTAGGCATCACAATACAGTGGTCCGAAATTGTGGTGAGGGCAATGTCAACTATGAACGCAATACGAAAAACATTTGTTAACTTAAATAGGGATATCTTCAGTAAAGTAGATGGAACACATGTGCGACCGCACCAGGAATATATGTTGCAAGTTTGGCAGCCTTGGCTTCAGTGAGATATAGGCAAGAGATCAAAAGTAGATAACCTTATAGCAACGATTCGGGTGCTAAGAGGAATTGATCTGGAGGTCAAGTGGAAACGACACAAAAAAAGATTTCCAAAGAACTGATTGCCAGCTTAAAAGGGAACTGTTTCGCACCAATCAACGTCTTCATTCGTCAGTGGAGCTCTTCACCGATATATTTTGCGCAGCACCCCCC